AAACAGAAAGCAAAGGGAAAAAAATCCCAATGAAACTAAATATATAAATACACATAAATTACAATAATTGCATAAAAGTGAATGAATTAAAGCTTCCCATACTTAAAAACAGACTCACTGTTTTTAAGAGAACTTCCTAGGAATATTGGAATGAGAGACCAATAAATTTGCCTTAGTTGATTACCACATAAAAAAAGAAAACAGTGATTCTTCTAAATAGAAAGACAATGTTATAGTAGGATTTGTTTTACTGTTATTTAGATATTTGGTCGCCACTTGTAATTGCAACTGAGAAAGATATTGGTTATGGGGACACTCAATGATATATGAAGTTGGAAGTTTTATCTATTACTCCAATTTGGGAATCTTTTCTCTTTTATCTGTGGCAACTAATAACTGTCTCTTTTCCTCTACTACCATGAACATTCCAAGTTGATAGTAATAATAAAAGAAATCTCCCACATAGATCTCAAGAATTCACAATTTGTTCAAAGCTAAGAACAAAAAGGATCAAGAAAAATGAAAATAAATGTAAGCGTATAAAGTTGTTTTTAAGATATCAGCTTGTCCACTCAAATGAATTTTCTCCTGGATTAGTTTCAGCTGCTTGCATAAGAGATAAACCAGTTCGATCCAGTCCTAATACCCAATTAAAGATAACCTCTGAGATTCATTAAAAAGGAAATCTTTTTCATTAACCCCAGTAAAGTGTGCAGTGCCTTGATCTTCTATGAGTACAAATTGTGCCGAAATACAAAACTAAAATAATAATAGTAAAATCAGCCAGAAACCTTCAAAGGTTCATTGGCAGCTTTCCAGGTTTTTGAAGTTGTTATGTGAAAATGTCTTGGATACATAATCCAATTCTAGCAGAGTCCTGTTGACTGACTTTTTTTAATGTGCTGTGCAGATGTTTGCATATAACAAACAGGACTTCAGCATAAATATAGCACCTGTATACAACTCCTGATAGTAATCCTGAAGAAATACGTAGCTGCTTTAAAGTTGCAGACGTACGCTGATTTGCATTTCCATATACTCTGAAGCACATTTTTTGGAATCAGATCAAAGTTCTGTACTAAAGAAACAACCAGAACTTCAGTTCTACTGAAGTTAAAATAAAATAGCCTTCTGCACCAACTTTCTGTTACCACCTCTGATAAGACTGAAACTTGAATTCTACATATTAACAAGGCAAGCTTAGTGCCAAAGTACGTCAGTATTTTTTTTTTTTAGTATGTAGGAATTTAGCAGACTAAGGAAGATACTCAGAGATGATTCACACCCTGGTCAGTGTCAGTGTAATTAGACTTAACATAGCTTAACATAGCTTGGAACTTGGAAGTTGCAGGACCACCTCTTCCAACCTAAATGAACCCAACCTACTACAGGTAGACCTCACCTACCAATTGCCCTGTTCATCAACTATTCAAAGTTACAATGGTGTTGAAAAATAACTTTACAATCATCGCCATCATTTATAACCTTCACAGCATCCCTGTTACACATTCTTTTTCTTTTTTCCCTCTTTGCAGAGCAGAGAGATTGGAGAAAAAGTGATTATAAGAGAGTACACAGGCACACAATAGGGGAAAAAAGTATGGTAAACTGGTTTAACTGCTGCAAACAAGAAGGCACTACAGAGAGTGATCAATTCGGCACAAGAAACCATTGGTTGCCCTCTAACACCACTGGATGACATTGCCAGGTCTCGCTGCTTTAGCAGAGTAAGGAAGATTCTCAGAGGTGATTCACACCCTGGTCAGTGTCTCTTTGCACTTCTACCATCGGGCAGAAGACATCGATGCATAGCCAGCCGAACAAATAGGTATAAAAATAGTTTCTATCCTTGGGCTATCAGACTCTTAAGCACAACCACAATCACTCCATGCACATGTGGAAACATATGACTAGTTTTTCTTTTTCTTTCTTTTTCTCTCCCCCCCCCCCAAATTACTTGCATAGGGATTATTCTTTATACTATTTATGTTCTTTGTATTTTTTGTTATGGAATGCACCAGTGAGGCTAAAACCAATTTCGTTGTATATATGATGTACAATGACAATAAAGGCTATGCTATACTAACAGAATCACTTAGAATCTCTATGTAACCAAGATTCTCAAGTTAACCAGCTATGCAAAGGGCTCGCAACTTGGGCGTCCCCCGGGACTCACGGCTGTCTTTGGAAGATCATATGACAGCCGTGGCCAGGGGGGCTTTTTATCAGGTTTGCCTGATTTCCCAATTGCGTCCCTTTCTGGATCGGGACGCCCTGCACACAGTCACTCACGCCCTCGTCACTTCCCGGCTGGACTATTGTAATGCTCTCTACATGGGGCTCCCCTTGAGGAGCACCCGGAGGCTCCAGATGGTCCAGAATGCAGCCACGTGAGTAATAATGGGGGCGTCTCGTCGCTCCCATGTAACACCCTTCTTGCATGAGTTGCACTGGCTCCCGGTGGTCTTCCGGGTGCGCTTCAAGGTGTTGGTTACCACCTTTAAAGCGCTCCATGGCTTAGGACCTGGTTATCTACAGGACCGCATTCTGCCACCGATTGCCTCCCACCGACCAATACGCTCCCACAAAGAGGGCCTCCTCAGGGTGCCGTCGGCCAAACAATGTAGGCTGGCGACCCCCAGGGGGACAGCCTTCTCTGTGGGGGCCCCAGCCCTATGGAACGAACTGCCCCCGAACATATGAAGGATCCTCGACCTCCGCGCCTTCCGTCGTGCTCTGAAGACCCTATTATTCCAGCAAGCTGGTCTGATGGGATAAAGGATTTTAAATTGGGTTTTGATAGGGGATTTAAAATGATTTTAGTTGGGTGTTTTAAATTCGGCCAATGATTGAATTATTTTATTTTATTATTTATTGAATTTATATACTGCCCTACTCCCGAAGGACTCAGGGCGGTGAACAGCCAAAAGATAAAATACATATAATACAAATGTTAAAAAATCATTAAAATACAATTAAATAATTTGGCCCAGAAAACAAAATTTAAAAACCCCAAATTTTATAAGACAAATTTAAAATTTAAAAAAATTAAAAACAATTTAAAAAAGAAGTTAAGCCAGGCTGGCCTGTTGGAATAGGATTGTTTTGAGGGCACGGCGGAAAGCACGCAGATCAGTGATCCTCCGTATCTTCGGGGGGAGCTCGTTCCAGATGGTGGGTGCTCCCACAGAGAAGGCTCTCCCCCTGGGGGCTGCAAGTCGACACTGTTTGACCGACAGCACCCTAAGAAGCCCCTCTCTATGGGAGCGTACTGGTCGGTGAGAGGCTACTGGTGGCAGAAGGCGGTCTTGTAGATACCCCGGTCCTAGGCCATGGAGCGCTCTAAAGGTGGTAACCAAAACCTTGAAGCGCACCTGGAAGACCACCGGGAGCCAGTGCAGATTGTGCAGGAGGGGGGTCACATGGGAGCACCATGTCGCTCCAATAACCACCCGCGTGGCCGCATTCTGGACCAGCTGGAGCCTCCAGGTGCTCCTCAAGGGGAGCCCCATGTAGAGAGCATTGCAGTAGTCCAGGCAGGAAGTGACGAGGGCATGAGTGACCGTATTTAGCGAGTCCCAATCCAGAAAGGGACGCAACTGGCGAATCAGGCGAACCTGATAAAATGCCCTCCCGGCCACAGCCGTCAGATGCCCTTCTAAAGACAGCTGTGAGTCCAGGAGGACACCCAAGTTGAGGACCCTCTCCGTGGGGGCCAACGACTTGCCCCCAATATTCAGTGATGGCACCAACTGACTATATCGGGATGTCAGAAATCACAGCCACTCGGTCTTGGATGGGTTGAGCTGAGTCTGTTTCTCCCCATCCATTTTAATTAAGTTTTTAAATTTTTGTTGTATATTGTTTTTACCATGACTGTTCACCGCCCTGAGTCCTTCGGGAGAAGGGCGGGTATATAAATATAATAAACTAAACTAAACTAAATATTATAATAAGAATCACATGATTTGGTAAGATTGAACAAACGTGATGCAGTTCTGAAGACACCCATTCATAAAGACTGTAAAGCTCCAAGCATTTCTTAGAAGTTCTGGGTTTTTCGGTCCTTCATAAATATAGATCGTTTGTACTGATTGAATTGTTAATAGTATAACATATTCTGGCATGTTATTCTGTTTATAATTATTTATGTAAAAAGGACTTTATTTATAAAGTCCGTTTGTAGGACATGATTTCAAATCAATTATTTTTAGTACTGTTGTTTTGTCATCCTTATTTATCAATAGTCTCTAAATATACACATGATTTCCATCCCAGTCAGTTCATTTTGTTTTGGTTGCATTGGAGCGATCTTTATCATTACTTGTTTACAGTAATTATATAAAAAGTCTGGATTGTTTTTGCTTGCTTTAGAATGCAGCTAGCAAGACTATGGGATCAGGAGCCACAATAAAACTGATTTTCTTTCACCATTTCCCCCTTCTCAGTGTGCTTGGAAGGTATTTATTTGGCACATTTTGATTATCATCCCTTTCCAATGCAAGTTGCAGAGCATGGGCCTCTGGGAAGCCCTTGTCCCGCCACTTCCGCCTCTTCTGCATCCACTGTGAACAGCCTCCACCGTCATCCAGAGACCACCATCTCTTGTCCTTGCTATCAACAACCCCGTCCTATTCAATTACCTCCTTCCTTGTTGGGCCTATGTGGCTCTGCTCTTGCTGCATTTGCCACATACATCTGAACACTGCATCCTGCCCAGCACCTGGATCCCAGCCCAGCAGCAGTTGGACTGGGACTACTGGAACGGCCATCGCTAAGTGGAGTAGTCATGTAAAGTTTTGCCTAATGACTGCTTCATTTAGCATTTAGGATTGTTTAGCAAGGGGATTTTGCAACAGAAGGGAAAAATTCCAATCTTTTCCTTGGAGCTTCATGAGAGAGAATGTCAGATATATAGTTAGACTGCAGGGTAATTTATATAATGCCAACCCATTACTATTTTACCAAAGTAAGGTCAATGTTCATGGAGATTTTCTTACCTGGCATAATGGATGAAATGAATAACTTTTTCTGTAAACTTCGCAGCTAAGGTAGTTAAGTTTACAGGCTGTTGGACAATCGTAAGGTTTTCAAAAAGAGGAAGTGCAATTTCAGGATAGCAGTTTTTCTGATGTTTACTGGAAAAAAAATTGTTAGGATCTTGAGTATGAAATGAGAGAGTAATACAAAAGTGGGCTCTAAAAATATTATTTATTTTGGTAGTTCCATAGCCTTTGCGCAACAAAATCAGCTAAAAAAGAGAGCCAAGGTTACATTTGGCTAGGTAGATTAAATTACTTGTCAGATCAATGAGACAGCCTCTAGCCAAACTGAAAAAGATAGGATGGAACACAAGTGACAAAGTTTCAAACTACCACAAACTGCTCTGAAAGGATAATTAGGCTAAATATAGCTCGGAACTTGGAAGTTGCAGGACCACCTCTTCCAACCTAAATGAACCCAACCTACTACAGGTAGACCTCGCCTACCAATTGCCCTGTTCATCAACTATTCAAAGTTACAATAGTGTTGAAAACTAACTTTACAATCATCACCATCATTTATAACCTTCACAGCATCCCTGTTACACATTTTTTCCCTCTTTGCAGAGCAGAGAGATTTGAGAAAAAGTTATTATAAGAGACTAAACAGGCAGACAATAGGGGGAAAAGGGGGTCAGGCACAGATGAGACTGTCTAAAGATCACTTGTTTGATTCCCTTCTTTGCTTCTTCCTATTATTTTAACGCTGTGTTGAGCATTTAAAGGGAAAAGGAGTGGGGAAAAAAAAGCACAGTCACATGAGTTTATTGGCTGCCCAGAATTATCCTGTGGTACGGTGAATAGCCAATAAATTTGATAAATAGATAAATAAAAATGATTTCCCACTTAGGAAGTGCTTTGCTTAACAACAGAGATACTAGTCCCAATTATGATTGCTAAATGAGGACTATCTTTAGGTGGTTTAGGGGAGAGCTTTTTATAGTCCCACATTTCCATAGAATGAGGGAAAACATAGTTAGAAGGCCTTGCTTCTCAGAGGTAGCATCAGTGGAACTATTTCATGGAAGTCAGGCCAGTCCACACCTTGAGAGTTTCAGAAAGATGTTAAATACTGAGATATTTTGAAAGGTGTTCCAATTATGTTACATACAGTGCCATCTGTTTTATTAGTTTTATTTTTAATTTGGGTTAATCTTTATTGTGCATGGATTTTTGGATTTTCTGGTTCAGTGCTTGAACTGAAATTTCAAAACATACTATGAATGTTTTAATATTTTCATACTATGTGAGCTGCCAAGAGACACTAGTTTATGCTGGGATATAAATTCATAAACGATAAATAAACATACCTGACTGTTGTGGAGCATCTGGGACAAGCCGGGCAGGGAGGGAGGTTATAACCTGGAGTGTCAGTACAGCCCATATCAGGGCTATATGGTATTCCAAAATAAAAATCAAAACCTAGAAACAAAAAGACATAAAATGAAGGTATGTCTAGCTATCTCAACAAAGGGGTCACTCTTGTCTGAAATGGAATACACATCTGTGGCAAACCAACTGCAAGGACTCAGCAGGATACATATCAACATTCAAACACTGACTGTGATCTCATGGTTCTCTTAGAATTATTTAAGAGTCTTAAACAGGATTAGGTTCATTACTGCCAGAAAAAATACTGTATTAGCAATAGACTTATATACTGCTTCATAGTGCTTTACAGCCCTCTTTAAGCAGTTTATAGAGTCATCATATTGCCCCCAACAATCTGGGGCCTCATTTTACCAACCTAGGAAGAATGGAAGACTGAGTCAACTTTGAGCCGGTGAGAATTGAACTGCTGGCAGTTGGCAGAATTAGCCTGCAATTCTGCATTCTAACCACTGCGCCACCATGGCTCTGTTATTAATCTGCACTAGACAGTCTATGAGCCATTGGGTCATTATTGTTACAACTGTACTGGACAAATGAAGGCAAATATGCATGACCCAGGATAATGTTGCAGGATCCATTTGGGTTCGTCACCAACACCAGGGGTTTAATGTGGTGAGAGAGAACTGCTAAACTAAACAACCCATGACCCACTGGGTCAATATTTCAGAGGTATTTCTTTACCTAAACAGAGAAACAGAAAGTCCGAAGGCAGGCAATAAAGCAGTGGGAACGAGAGCAACTTCTGACTTCCTGCTGGCTTCCCCATTGATTTTGCTTGTGGAAAGCTGACAGGGAGTGTTGGAATCACAATCGTGTGACCTCCGCTAACTGTGGCATTGCTGTTGTGTCTACAGTTTTGCGAATACAACTGGTGTGAAGTTTTTTCAGATTTCAATTACACAGGAGTAAATGGGTCATGGATTCTGTACTGATTCTTTAACGTAGCAGATTTAAAGTACCTTGATTCAAAAACATTTGCCATTTGGGCTAACTGAAGGTTACAAGCAGACAAGAGGCAGGAGAATTTTAGCAGTATACAGATTACCTGTCTCTTTGATCTTTTCCCTCTCCCAAAAGTTTACAACATGTGGAATTTTTAAAAAGCTACTAGATTGAGAAAGATAAACCATTTAATACATTGAATTAAGTAATATTAACTAATATTTCATTTTGGCTTAGTATATTGTGTGTTGCCAGCCAACAGTTGCTTGCAGACAATAGTTGAGCAACCTGTACCCTACGGTTCCAAGCAGAGTCCAATACACATATCTGCCTCCACTTGAGTCCTAACTTAAATTGCCACTGGTGGCAATTTTTTGCTAATGTAAGGAAGGAAATACACAAAAACTGCACTGTAAGTCCTCAAATAGATTTCATACAATTTTTAAAAAGGAAGAAAAAACAACTTTTCCTAAAAAAAATCACAGGTATAAGATGACTCCATTTATTTTTGCATTGTCACTCAAAACACTATAGACTCAAACCTATGAAAGGATATCCAGTGCAGACTGGATTTATTGCTAAGCCTGTTGTATGAACCTAGCCAACTAAGATTTATTTCTTAAATGATTTTTAGCCAACTCACAACTAGCATAATGTGAGTCCAGTTCAAAGAAGAATTTTAGATGAAATATCAATATTGATGAAAATTAAGAGCTTGTTTAGAGTTTACAGGATTATAAATCTACATAGCTATGTATCTATGTATTTGCTTTGTTGTGGTCATGGGCCTTATAAGTTTAAAATACTTCCTTGTCTAAAAACAAGTTTATTCTCCTCCATACAAAAACTAGCAGGTTAAGAAAAAGCTACATTCTTGCAAATCCTGCTTTCTATCCAGACCAGAATATCCTAGTTATCTATGTGGAAGTTATGTACATCAAAGCAGTCACTTTTATGAAATTGCAATTCCAACTAGAACAACCATGGCATTTTAGTAGGAGGAAATAAGTATAGAAATCTTACCACGAAAGCTGGGATGGAAAGGGCCATGATGTCCCAAGTGCCATTTCCCTATAAAGAAGTGATGTGGAACAGAAAAGTATTAGTACCTAAACATGTTAATGCAAAATAGTGACTGTGGAAAACATTTAATATTGGCTACTTTAGCTCTGGGCAATTAGTTGAGAAAGTGAGGACAGGATCAAAATTTACAAACCATGTTATCTGACTCATCAAAATCATTGAGTCTAGCTCAGGGTGTTAAACTCAAAGCCCCTGGGGTACTTAGCTCTGGCCCGCTGGGCCACCCTGGAAACAGTGAAGGACTGGTCCACGGTGCTTCTGCCAGCAAAAGCAGGCCTCCCCAGCTCTGTTTTCACTGGCAGTGGATTGCAGGAGGTTGTGGCAGCCGAAAATGGAGCTTGGGAGCCCGTTTTCGCTGGCAGAGTGCTCAGGCCACCACAGGCACCAACAGGAGTGACGTCAAGCTGGCCACGCCCCCAGCCCCCCCCCAAGGTTAAACACAACCCAGATGTGGCCCTCAATGGAATCAAGTTTGAAATCCCTGGCTCTAGCTAATATTAAAAAACAAGCCTATTTTTTTCCATTTTATGATAAAATTTGTGATAAAAAAGCCAGTTTCAGTCTAATGGTAAGGCAACAAGCTAGAAAGCAGGAGACTATGAATCCTTAGTCATGAAAGCCAGCTTGGGTGACTTTGGGCCAGTCATTTTTTTCTCAGCCCAACCCACCTCACAGGGTTGTTGTGGGGAAAATACGAAGAGGAAGGTGTATTGGATATGTTTGCCACTTTGAGATATTTGTAAAAGCAATAAAGGCAGGATAAATGGATAAAATTGCATAAGAACTGGGAGCTAGCCTTTCCTATCATAAAAACAGAAGAAAAACAACTCCATTCTCAGCATTAAACTCAGACCTACAAATGATTCACTTTCATTACATGTTGAATTACCTCACCAATTTACAACCTAGGAAAAGTGCATCTTTCTCTCTCAGCACCCAAATGTTCTGAATCCAGTGACTTTCCAAGATACCGAACCCTTATGCAATAAAGGTGAGTCTTAAGGCCAGTTTGCATATAGCATGAGAAAAGTAACCCATCTTTTGTTGTGAATAGTGTCAAATAGCTTACAACAATATGTAAACTTAACACATAATTAAAAGGGCAATGTAAACCAGCAACAGAACTCAAAGAGAAAGCAGAAAATTGAACAAATCTTTTAAAACTTTACATTTATTCGGAAAGGAACTTTACTAAGATCCTGGAGAAACCTTAGGGGCAAACTGCCAAATACAAAGATTTCTGAGACAGTGATAGCAATAGTTTTGGAAGATAAACTATAGGAATTGTCCTATCCACAGAGAAGATGCACTATGCAAGGAATTTAGCAATGCTGCTGGGTTTCCTGGCTATCTCAGTGAAAGTGAGTTTGGGCACGCTCATGCCAAACCAGAATACCTTGGGATACACTTTGCAATCAAGGGGCTGGTGCTTCTTTGAGAATTAAACCTAGATGACGTAAAACAAAAAACAGAAAAACACGCACTTCACTGGATTCATGGTCCAAGATGACTTTTGCTGCAAAGGTTCTTTATAGTATGGCAAATATTACCAAATTACCTAAGGAAATTCTGGCCTTCTATGCACATTTCCAACTGAAATAATTTAGTGGTATTATCTCTTTTCCAGCAATAAATCAAATCTTCAGTTTGATCATAGACTAGCATATATCCAGCTATAAATAGAATCAATTTAAGTTTTCTTTCTGGGGTAGGTTAAATTACCTATCATAGCGGTGAGGTAGCCAGCTTCTTTCAGAACTTCTGCCAATATTGTCTCGTTCAATGGAAGGCCTGCCACTGAAGACACAGCAAAATTGTGAGTGACGCCATTACGAAGGCCGAGGCGTCCTGTAAGCAGAGAGGCACGTGATGGGGAACAGGTAGATGCAGCTGAATGGAAATCTACAAATCTAGAAAAAGGGGAGAAAGGTTCCTATTATTTTTCATTTATTACACTCCTTTTCATTTGAAACAAAATATTATTGAGTTGGTTTATGACAAAGTATCTACGGTAACTGTAGTTAGATTGTTTATTTCTTAGAGGAGACTACTGTAGGCCAGGCTGTCCAAAGCTACTTGCTTAATGTAGTTTGACACTGAAATATGTGTTTCCTTTTTTTTCATCTTTATCCTTACACACACTGTGTATTTTTGCATCTATGGAACTGGAGCACTGTTATTGCTTTCAAGCAATTCCTATTAACTTATCTGAGCATTAAGTTTGCACTATTTATGTCATGTTTTAAGGCTAGAGTAGATTTCTGCCGCACCGCACGGAATGTATGAGTCTGTTGATTGGGGATGATGGTTGCATAGGTATTCTTTTTATGGGTCAGCGAATTTTAACGCTCCCTGCGTGAATATGTTGCCTTCTCCCACCTCCCAGTAGGAAGTCGGAACCAATCAGCATGCAGGTTGCCCATCTCTGCATGACACATAGTTGGGATTCAGGAGGTGTTTGCGTTGGCCCGTCTGCAGCCTTCTGCAATCTCCACTTTCTCATCGACTGCTTTGCAGTGATGGGTATCGGCAGTTGCAGGCAATTCTGCCTTTAGGGAAAAGGGAAAGTGCCCAGATAGTTCAAAGAGCCTTGGTAGTACAGTGGTCTAAAGCACCCTGTTATTAAGACCAGCTGCCTGCAATTACTGAAGGTTCGAATCTCGCCAGGCTCAAGGTTGACTCAGCCTTCCATCCTTTCTAAGGTAGGTAAATTGAAGACCCAGTTGTGGGGGCAATAAGCTGACTTTGTATAAATATACAAAAGGATGAAGGCTATTGCTTAGCGCATTGTAAGCCGCCCTGAGTCTCCGGAGAAGGGCGCCATATAAATCAATTTTTTTAAAAAAATGTATACAGACAAAAATCATTACTTCAGAATTAGTGCAAATGCAAGATGCACAGCATGTTTGCTAACTTGGCTTCTCAAGGCTGCTAATGTCCAAGGGAAAATCAGTGCTAAGCTTTTCTAGGGGACAAATCTGCCAATGAGGTGATATTTTCAGCCAGACTGGCAGTATCCAAATCTTCCTAAAAACTCATTCTCTAAAAGCATGCTGCTTTGTGCAACTAATGTGACTGATTTATTTTTGAAGTATCTCCCGTTACAGATTTTGAGGCGTAGAAACTAAGTTTTTGGCCTATGGAAATTTAGGAATGGAGATGTGGCTATTAGCGTAGTTAAAGGGTAATTTATTTCATCTGATGACATCAAAGGCCAGAAGGTTCAAAGCACAGGACAAACATTCTTGAGAACGGCCTCACATAATGGGCAAGTCATCAGACTTTTTTTCAAGTTGAAGGTTATCCTGTACAGCAACATTTCATTTGAAAGAAGAAAATGTCAGTTAATCCAAATTTTTAAAATCTCAAGTGATCACAATATAATCTAATTACTTCTTTTCCATGCAGGATTAAGGAAAGCTATATGCAGAAAAACCCTTTTATCATGTGTCTGGGCTTCTTCTTTTTTTTTTAACTAGCTTTAACCCTAAAAAATGGAGCAAAAAATTCATACCACGAATTAGCTATGCTAATTGCTATGCTGTTGTAGACAACTCTGTCTACAACAATCTTTTCCAGTTCAGTACCCTACCAAATTTTTATCTGTAGCATACATTAGCTGCAGTGGTGGGTTGCCCCCGGTTCAGACCAGTTCGCAAGAACCAGTAGTAAAATCGGCGGGAGGCTCCACCCACTGACCTGGACGTCATCATAGGTGATCTGCACATACGCAGAAGAGTGCGGGCGCGATGCGAAGCGGTAGTAAAGGTAAGTAGAACCCACCCCTGATTAGCTGCAGCCGATATGGGCAATTATTGAAACAAGTATTCAGAGCTGCACCCCAAAACAGCTGAGGAAACAAGTTTGAAGAAAGTTGATTTACATTCTCATGTAAATCTCATAAGAAAAAGCTTGCTTGGCACAAATAATTACATTAGTTATAACCTGGTGTCTTTAAATACTATATTTGGGGGGGGGGGGGAAAGTGGCTTCAACTATGTTATGACTCTTTTCCAAAAGTGTTTGCCATTGCTTTCTTCCTAGGGCCTAAAGAGAGAGTGACTGGCCTCAAATCACTCGGCTGCAAATCATTCAGCAGGTTTTGGGTCTAAAGTAGAATTGGAATTCAGAATCTGTTGGTTTCTAGTCCAATATCTTTAACTACTATACCAAACCAGCTTTCCTAAAATCCTGGTGACTACCTGGACAAGTCCATAGATGGGGGGGTGGGGGGGTGTTCCATAAGACAGGCACTACGACACAGAAGGCACATCTCCTAGGATCCATCCAATGTAGATCCCTAGCTGATGGTACCCACAGCATCCCCTCTTTGCCAGATCAACTGGTGTGGGCTGAAATAACCTGGGAGAGGAGATCACTCAGATAGCCTGATCCCATGCCAACAAAGGTCTTTATTATCCTGAGTATATTAATTTTCTTGATATTTTTGGAAGTAGATTGCCATTGCCTTCTTTTTCTTAGAGCTGAGAAATAGTGACTAGCCCAGCTTCATGCAGCTGGCACTTTAAGTAGGGTTGAATTCAGTCTCCTGTTTTCTAGTCTAGTGCCTTTACCAACTGTCTCTCACGGTGTACATTCACCAAATAAAACAATCTTCAACTTAGGCATTGTATTTGACTGAAATAATTCATAACAAAGTGACAATCTTAAATCTTTATAAGAGAAGTCTCTAGTATTTAGATTCTCTTTGGAGATATTAGCAGAATCCTACTGAGTGGATCTCACGACTCATTTATTATGGGCGTGTTTTAAAACTCCCGTTGTGCATAAAATAAAGCCGATACCATTCATGAGAAAAAATAGCAATAATTTGTTGCAAGTAAAAGAACTGAAAAAGAAATGTAACAGGAAAGCAATCAATACAATTATTTGGATGGATTTGCATGATGTCTTGGATGGATTATTGCATGATGGGAGATGGTGAGGAAATCTGTAATCCGCAGGTTTTTGGAATCTGATTAATTAGATCAAAAGGGTAAAAGTGTTTGAACAGTAATAAGCATCTCATCTTTGAGTAAAACTACCTAATATAAACTAAGAGTATAGCAGTGAGCTCAGAAATCCCTGGTTCAACTATTACTTCATAATTGGGGCCTTTGGTAAGTCCACTGTTTTCTGCATTTACTTTCTTCAAAACCTTGAGACTGGGAGATACCAGATCAATATAGACATAACAGTTCTGTCTGGGGTGGAAACCAGCAGCTCCAGCTGCATCAGCTTTATTCCTATAATGCCTATTGTATGTATATTCTCTTCTATTGATACAGTTTGGTGCGGTCTGCTAGTGTGGACAGGTTACCATGTGTCTGAAATATTGTACAGAACTGAAACAGGCTATTTGGATTCTATGCTGCAGGTCTATGACCAATCAAAATAGAAAAATAAACTAAATAATGCAAGCGAGGCAGCGCTCATGTCTCAATATATGTACTGCTCTCATATAGTTCTGCAAAAACAAGATCCGTGGTGGTGCAGTCGTTAGAATGCAGTATTGCAGGCTAACTCTGCCCACAGTCTGGAGTTCAATCCTGACAGGTTCATCCTTCCGAGGTCAGTAAAATGAAGGATCCAGACAGTTGGGAGCTGTATGCTGACATTGTAAACCGCACAGAATGTGCTGCAAAACATTATGGGTTGGCATATAAGTCTAAGTGCTATTGCTATTCTGTACAAACAGGAGAAAAATCAAACACATGCTTGGCCTATATATTAAAGGAAAATTAGCTACAACTAATAGAAAGAAGGCTGACTGACTGCTCTCTAAGATTTGTGTACGTGCCAAAATGGTATGAAGCAAATATGTTCAAGACAGATAACACAAGAGAAACATGTGTACACTAAGCAAACAGAAGTCCCAATCACTAGGGCTATCTCAACGCCTTGTTTGACCATTCGCCTGAGGAGGTTTTAAATAGCCAGAATTGACGTCTTTAGAGAAGCAATAAATTCTTGGTACATCCTACAAAACAACTATTCATTACAGCATCCTTGAATTAAATCATGTCTCACAATTAGCATTTGTAGCTGTAGGAGAAATGGTTCAAACTAATTGCCTCCCAGATTTAGAGAAGTGCAAGTTATTAAGCAAGTTTACAGTTTTAAAGACTGAGCATGGGGGGGGGAGGGGGAGGGATGTGCCACTTGTGCCAGTAAAATATTGGAAATGGCTCTTTAACTCTTCCAAATTCTACTGCATAAGCCACCCAGAGATGAGAGTTGAGCAGCATACCAGTTTAGATGATAATGATGATAACACCAACCTATTTACCCCAAATGAATATGACCTTCAATTTAACATTATCATTCCACAAAAAAATGGAGTAGACAGTGAGAAAAAAAAATAGATAGCAATGGAAAAAATGTGTAAATTCACATGAAAAATCTATGCAATACCTTTCTTATGCACTGGTTAACTTAGGGCTGCCATCTCTTGATGAAACTAATCATGAATATTCCGCATTTCACTGCCAATAAATATATGCATATAATAATATTTATGTGTACATTTATTGTGGATATTTATTCATATTTCATGTTTCTAGACCATTCATCTTCCTCAAGGATACTCACCAGAAAAGGGCAAAACCAGGACAAAAGAATAAACTCACCTATTAATGAATATGAATACAATTTCATTGTTATTGTATTTATTGATATTCTCCCATGAATTAAGACTCCGGACGATGAACAATAAAGCAAAAGTAAAACAGGAGAAAAGAGTAAACCAAAATAAAACAAAAATATGGATGAATGCTGATCATGAATTCAGTTTTGATAGCATAATAGTTTTAACCATTTTTACAGAATGGGAGAGATAAAGGTACTTTCTAGACTATGGAAACATGCCATCTAACCTACTCTGATGGACTTTTCACAAAGAGGGGAAAATTCTAGACAGTCATCACTATATGTTTGAACCACATTAGCCCATTCAATTTTGTTGAGGTGATGCCAGACTATCTTGCTACTATGCCATGTAAGCTTTATCAGAAGCAAGATAATGTATTTAAAGTTGGTGTTATTTGGCAACAACTGGACTGATCTGACAGCTGTATAGCCACCCCATTCTGGAATTACTACAGTTTTTCACTCCCCTCCAAAGGAACTTTCAAGTCTTGTAGTAGTGCAAATGAGTGATGATCAATTTGTAATCAACCTTGACCAGATTCCCTCAAGGTCCTATATTTATGAAATTAATTTATCTCCCATTTGCATTTGAAAGCAATTATCTGGTGGTTTTACAATGTTTTGGGGGATTGACAGTATGATGTGGGTATTAAGTATAAGTGGGATTAATGCTGTTAGTATTTTTTTATATACTCAATGGCTAAGAAATGAATGTTTGGTGTGTTATGGCATTTATGTTTTCTTATTCAATTCTGTCTATTTTACTTTTATATTATTCTGATATATCATTCCTTTTGGAGTTAAGCAGCATATACATAAATAAATAAATAAACCAAGTTTATTTAAAAAAATAGCATTTCATAATATTTCTTCAAAACCACATTTTTCTACTGGAATTGGCCCAACCATTTCAATCATGCCACAAGAAGCAATGAATTTTCCCCCATTTAGGGGAACTCATGAAGGTGCCATTTTCCCCCACCATTGGATTGGCTCTCTGGAATGGTCTCCTATGGGTGTTAGGTCCCTACTCTAGTTGTTTTCTGAAGATTGCTAAAAATAGTTTTTCCACAGGAGGCTGATACAACATGCTGTCTAGAATGCTTCTGTATTTTTTAATTTAAGTTTTATGAATCTTCCATGTTACCCTCTCATTTTGATATACTGTATGTTATAAGCTGTTGAAAGTACCATATTTTTCAGAGTATAAGACGCACCAGAGTATAAGATGCACCTTTGTTTTTGGGGAGGAAAATAAGAAAAAAGCTGATTGGCAGGTGGATCGGTCTCCCGGAATACCCCCAATCAGCTGTTCCCAGAGGTGAATTTTAGCAACAGGTTCCTTGGTTGTGAGCTCTGTGCCTTGCTTTTTTTTTCTGCCTCTGAAAGCCTCCAAAACAGAGCTTCAGAAAAAAAGCCTCTGAAGCTCTGTTTGGGGGCTTCTTTTCTGAAGCTTCTTTTCTGATGCTTTTTTAGCCTCTGAAACCTCCATTTGAGAAGCTGGGTGGGGCTACATTCGGAGTATAAGACGCACCCAGATTTTCACCCTCTTTTTTGGGGGGGAAAGGTGTGTCTTATACTCCAAAAAATACGGAATGCTTTTGATTGTGCACAATGTAAATTTCATAAATCAATAAGCAAACAAAAATGCACAACTATAAGTACAATCCTATAATCCTGTAGCATTTAAACAATTGTCTACACTCTCTAAATACATGGTAAATAAATGTGAATGCTAGAGAATGGTTTGAAACTCACCTCATTCCTTCCCGGGCTATCTTATCCAAATTAGGTGTGTCTTTTTTTAGGCCCCAGTTGGCTCCAAAATCTCCCCATCCTACATCATCTGCCAAAATTACTATGAAATTTGGTTTCTTGTAAACTGTTCTTTCCCAGTTAAAAGAAAGCCTGGGATGGTAGTAGAGAAGCCCAGTAAAACAACTGACCAAGACCAACACCAGTGCTTTAAGAAGCAGAATATCCATGGCATCAGGAGAGCAGTTTTAGGAGAATCTCATGAACGTTAAAAATATCCAACTGTAAATGTTGCCTGGATGTTCTTTTCTTCAGAGGCAATGTGGATATTTCAGATCAACTGCAACATTCCCGAAATTCTGCAGAAAAGAAAATTAGAACGACATATTAAGAAAAACATACATACAAGCTTGCAGGTAGAGATATAACATGCTGTTTACTTGTTTTACTTGAAAGGCGACTCTGAATTTAAGATGGTTCTTTAAGAAAAAAACAGATTAAAAAAAACCTGTGAACACAAAGGCAACATGTTTTGCATTGCCAGCTTGGGATCCTGTTGGTTTGTTAACACCAGCTAAAACCAGTTCTGAAGATTTGTCCCTCATCCACTCATTGCCCAGGGTATGTGTGCATTATATCCATATATCCAAACCCGATAGATAGATAGATAGATAGATAGATAGATAGATAGATAGATAGATAGATAGATAGATAGATAGACAGACAAAGTTCTAGTAATTAATTGCTTTCAAAATATAACCACTTAAAAGATAATTGTTTCACTTACTAATCACTCTCACAGAAAACACACACAAATATTCACACTTTCACATAGGTCCCTTTCCAACAGAAACTGGAAAAAATGATAAATAAATTCAAGAGGAGGAAAAGGCAGCTACACAGGAAAAGAAAAAAGAAAGAAAGGGCCATGCTCAGAAGTTAAAAAAAGAGTTAAATTCACCAAGTAAACAACACCTGCCAAAGTGCAGTTAATCTTCAAAGTCATCAAAGATCTACCTACGTTTGCATCTATTCTAATTATCTTGCTTTCAACAACTACTTCTTATCAGTATATTTCCATGTGCAATTATTTGGGAGGTGGGGAGGAAATCTCCTAGGGAAAGCAGATGTATTGGTCAGAGCAAATTATGCCATGAAATTGTATTCATAGTGGCAAGCTCTTGAAAGTCACACTGTCATGGAGAGGAAACCAAATGATTTTACCATAAACCTGCACACTCTTGTAAGAACTTTAGCCCTTTATTTGCAGGAACCCAAAATCCAACAATTTAATCAAATTCTAATCTAGAGCAATATTTGAAGATTCTTTAGATGTCCACTTTCAGACAAAGTCACACTTAAATGCAGTTTGAATCAATGATTTGTACAGCGGCCCATCTCACCAAAAGTGATTTCGGGTGGCATGCAACAAATGGATAAAAAAAACAAAATATATAAAAAAATAAGAGATTAAAAAAATATAGAAATCTACATTAAACAAAATAAGGAGTGTAAAAAAACCAAGTATACAAACCCCTAGGCCAGCTCAACAATGAAACTACCTAAACAAATCTCCAGTTCCTTGGGAGTTCCGTGTCCAATAACATAATCAGGTTTTGACGACTCAAAAGGGATGGAGATCCTCTAATTCTGGGGGTAAGGATGACCATGATAAAGAAGGCACTTCTCCTGGCACCCACTAAATGCAGATCCCTAGCTGATGGTACCTAGAGCATGCCTTCTGTGCCAGATCTAATGGGTCGGGCTGGGAATAACCAGGGTGAGAGATGATCCCTCAAGATAGGCCAATCCCATGAAGGGCTTTATTATCCTAAGCATATTTATCAAAATGTCTTTAAGACCACAACTCAAATTCCCATAGATTAGAAGACAAACTTTCCACGCCTTAAAATAACTACTTCCTGTAGTAGGAGTACAATGTATTTACTGTAATCCAGAATTCTGCTTTCTACCATGGGCAAATCTAACCGTAGCAACTTTTCTTCCTAATCACGAACCATATCAGTTATAGGATTTCCAGCTATATGAATGAACTGTCATGTCTGAATTCGCCTCCACCCTTACTAGAATTAAAGCTTATTAGAAAAACAAATTTGTCTAGTCCTCAAAATGATAAATGCTACGACATGCAAAGTATAGCTGATATAGGAGTCATCGCAGGCAGCATAAGGGCAAGCCTAGAACAAATGTAAGGATTTTAAGTACAAAAGTTAATACATAATTTTAAAATTCAGATTCCTCTAAAAACATGAACAAAATTAAATTTTAGCAGGATATAGGCTACATGCAAACATTCAGACATTTTTCTGGTTGCTACCAGAAGCTACTCTTCTCACACTACAGGTGGTCCTTGAATTACGAACATAATTGAGCCCAAAATTTATGCTGCTAAGTGAAACATTTCTTAAGTGAATTTTGCCCCATTTTACGACTTTTTTTGCCACAGTTGTTAAGTGGATCATTGCATTTGTTAAGTTAGCAACATGGTTGTTAAGTGAATCTGACTTGACTTTGCTTGTCAGAAGGTTGCAAAAGCTGATCACATGATCCCAGAACACCGCAACCGTCATAAATGTGGAACAGTTGCCAAGCATCTTAATTTTGATCGAGTGACCATGGGGATGCTGCAATGGTTGTTAAGTGTGAAAAACAGTCATGTCACTTTTTTCAGTGTTGTTGTAACTTTGAACAGTCACTAAATGAACAGTTGTAAATTGAGAACTATCTGTAATGTAAATCTGACTCAAGTAGATCCAAAGTTAATAAAACTGCAGACAACATTCCTTTCCTTAAGAACTTGTCTTGGTCTGTTCTGGCAGCTTCTGTGTGGTAAATGAATTATAAGATAAAACAGTTTTCCCCATCTGTGAGTTCTTCAAGTATGTTAGCCTGCATTACCCACAACCAACCAGCATAGCCAACACAAGCCAGTTATTTTATAGATAAAATCCCGCTTGAGCAAGGCAGACAATATCTATTACCAGATATAGTATCTGGAACTATCTAGACCAGTCTTTTTCAAACTTGAAACTTTTAAGATGTGTGGACTTCCATTCCCAGAATTCCCCAGCCAGAATTCTTGGGAGCTGAGTCCACATATTTTTAAAAATTGCCAGGGTTGAAAAACGCTGAATTAGAAAAATGAAAACTATGTGGTTTACTTGTTTATGAGATAAAATACAGGTAGTCCTTGACTTACGACTACAATTGAGCCCAAACTTTCTGTTACTAAGTAAGACAGTTGTTAAGTGAGTTTTGCCCCATTTTACAAACTTTTGTTAAGAGCTAGAGAAGTCAGTCAAATGAGTATAAAGATTTATTGCAAGCTTAAGCTCTCTACCAGCATCCAACCAGCCTTTAAGGGAAATGAGCAGGAGATAAAAGAGGCATTCAAGATGGGCTGGATTTAGTTCTCTTGCAGATGCTCAGGGACTTGTGATTTATGATGTATTAGATCCCTCCCTTGGGCTCAGCCAGGTTATCTCTTAAAACCTTTCCTGCTATGGTTGTTAAGTGAATCACTGAAGTCATTAGATTAGTAACATGGTTGCTAAGTGAATCAGGCTTCCCCATTGACACTGCTTGTCAGAAGGTTGCAGAAGGTGATCATGTGACTCCAGGACACTGCAACCAACATAAATACAAGCCAGTTGCCAAGTGTCCAAATTTTGATCATGTGACCATGGAGATGTTGCAAGGAGCTGCAGTGGCGCAGTGGTTAGAATGCAGTACTGCAGGCTACTTCTGCTGCCTGCCTGCAAATTGTCAGTTTGAATCTCACCGGTTCAAGGTTGACTCAGCCTTCCATCCTTTTGAGGTCGGTAAAATGAGAACCCAGATTGTTGGGGACAATAGGCTGACTCTGTAAAACCGCTTAGAGAGGGCTGTAAAAGCACTGTAAAGCAATATATAGGTCTAAGTGCTATTGCTATTGTAATTATGAAAAAAGGTTATGAGTCACTTTTTTCTGTAACTTTGAATGGTCACTAAATGAATGGTTGCAAGGCAAGGATTACCTACCTGTATTACAATGCTTTGCTAATTAGCAAAGGGAAAAAAAAATCTATCTGATATATACTTTACATCCTCTTGTGAAGTTGAAAGCTGCACAAAAGTTCTAGAGAGAGAGATGTGGTAATATTTGACTAACTGATTAGTACATGTTTATTATTACATTTTATACTTCCAATACTAATGGTCATTTTCCCAAATAAAAAATTCTACTGTTATTTCAATTTCAAAAGTAGATCAGTTCTATTCGTGCAGGGATGTCAAACTTGGATTGCCACAGCGCTGTCATGTGATGTGTTGTGGCTTTTTCGTTAAACTGGACATGGGCGTGGCCAGCATGTGACGCATCCGGCCGGCAGGCCGCGGGTTTGACAGCCCTGTATTAGTGGATCAGTTCTATTAGTGTGCTTTTCTGTATTAATGTCACTGACCAAATCAATTTAGCTTTGTTACTGAAATTGCCATTCTCATTTAATTTTTTTTTTTTTTTATAATTTGTACTTATGAAAAACTGAAATAATCTGGATTGCCAGAGCATCCTAAGAATCCTAAGCAAAGAACAAAAGCATCCTAAGCAAAGAACAATGCATTGTAATTCTGCAAAATATTATTACCTCTGATAAAAGAGATGTTTTTGAGGGTGGAAAGTACTGTTATTTTTAAGCTAAATTGGCATCCAATTCCCAGATAGGGATCACAGTTTACTCTGTGTAATTATGAAGGCCTGTTACATGAATAGCACGTAACAATGAATGTGGGGTCAAGGGCCAGGGACTGACAACTCCTGAATTACTATGAGGAAAACACTAAGAAACCAAAGCAGTGGCCAACAGACTTATCATCAATGTATCTGCTGGCCGTCTCTTGCATTTCTTGAAGAAGGATAGAAAAAAGGTTCAGAGTGTAATCTGTAACTTGGAGCCATGGAAGAACTAAGTCCCCTCTGCTTTATGCCCAAATGCCGCAAGAGATAGGGACATTTTTAAGAACACCTTTAATATATATTCGTTTAGTGACTGTTTGAAGTTATAATGTCACTGAAAAAAGTGACCAATAACTGTTTTTCATGCTTGCAGCCATTGTAGCATCCCCATGCTCACATGATCAAAATTCAGACACTGGATTATAATCAACTGGCTCCTATTTATGATGGTTGCAGTGTCCCGGGGTCATGTGATCGCCTTTTGTGATCCTCTGACAAAGTCAATGGGGGGACCAGATTCACTCAACCACCGTGTCACTAACTTAAAAACTACAGTGATTCACTAACGATTGTGGCAAGAAAGGTTGTGAAGTGGGGCAAAACTCACTTAACAACTGTCTTGCTTAGCAACAGAAATGTTGGGTTCAATTGTGGTTGTACGTCATGGACTTCCTATACTAGGGACATACACAAGGCCCCTTAAAAGTCCCAGTATCACCACCAGATCCCACTAGGGATCTAGGCCTGAACCTCTGGCCATAATAATACTATTTTTTTCCCGCTTTAGAACTTCCCACATCAGCGTTTATCGGTTCCATCAGGTCTGCAGGAAGAGTACATTCCAAAGAAATAGCTGGCAGATCTGAAACAGTAATAGCTGTACCTGGCCAGGTATTTCTAGCCAGTTCACCTTCGCCAGAGAAGGCCTTTATTCATATTTTAAAAGCTCACCATCCTACCACAATACTGAAACCAATCAGTGGTAAACACTCTGTTTGCAGATCAGTCACTTTGACAGCTTGCAACACTTGTACCCAGCCTTTATTAACTAAGTTAATAAATCAGAGTTCACTTTTATGAGATGCCAACAGCCTGATCCGCTGAGAACTGGACAAAACTGACTTAATTTCACAGAGGAAAGCTCCTTGTACATCACCATCAGTCCAGTCTAATCTGCAAGGACAGTGAGAATGTTATCAGAGGATGACACTTGAAAGGGGGGAAAAAGCCGGCTGGAATATCAAAGACAGAAAGTCACTGGGAGCATAAGCAGTCGGAGGTGGGTGGAACAGTCCAGCTGAGTCCAGCTAAGACCAGTATTATGACAGATGGTTCCAGTTGAGTATCAAAGACCTTGGGGAAAGAATGTGCAGCTGAAGATACAAATTCGGTCAGTTAGTCAACACAACAAAAGAAAGAAGGGGTAAGAATGACCTAATTAAACAACGGGCATGAGTAAAGGGATGGGATAAACAAAACAAAACTCAGGTCCTGAGAAAGCGAACAGAAAAGGAGATTTGAAAAATTAAAACATTCCGTGCACAAGGCAAGAATTCAGGATTTGGGCCTGCTGGAACCTCAGATAAATTCCCTAGCAATCAGGCTTAATGAATAAGTGAATATAAGCTTTGCTGGAATTACTGAGGTTAATTAAAGGTCTAAGAGTCCTAATACAGAAGATTTCATTCATTTTTTTCCAAGAGCAGGTTCCCAGGAAGCACCTACATAAAATATGGTAGGTAATACCATCCTGACTACAAAAATGGTGTAAAGAGGAAGTTACATACACACACACACACACACACACACAGAGAGAGAGAGAGAGAGAGAGAGAGAGAGAGAGAGAGAGGAGGAAATGAAGTAAGTCCTTGACTTACGACCACAACTGAGCCCCAAATTTCTGTTGCTAGGCTCTGATCTACAGGTAAGGCTGGAGAAGATTCCTGGAGCTATCTTTGACAGCTGCTGTCGAAGAATTGATCAAGTGGCTATAACTTTCAATCATGCTGGGAACCACACTCTTAAAAGTGAGCGACAGGACAGAACAACAAAAAATTATCAAGATTTGATTTTTAAAAAAGTATTTAGATCAGGGGATATTCTGTTCTTTCTTCTAGAAACAATGCCTGTCTGCTACTAAAGGCAGCACTCCTGGATTAAAATTTATTCCATCTCTGTAACCTAAGATTGGCTAATCAAGCCATGTACAACTTGTTAATTAAGTTTGCTTGTCCATGGAACCAACAGGTACATGCCAGCACCACTGTTAAGACAGTTACGTGCTTTGCTTAGTTACTAGATTTCTATCTTGCTCTTCAGTCAAGAACTTGATGCTGCAGATATTATGCTCCTTCCTCCTATTTTTTCCCAGAACAAGACTCAGAGACACATTGTGTTGAGACAGTGGATGAGCACAAAACGTTAATACATTCTCTATTAAAGATTTCCTTTTTACGACCCTGTAATCCTTTAGTTCGAGGTAGAGCCGGGACGACTGG